GTTAACTAAGTCAAACGCAAAAAGAAAACAGTAAAAATAAATTGCAAAGTTAAAACAATGAAAAATAAAATTATCCGTGAATATTAGTTAGAGTTTGTGTATGTTAAAATATTTTAAAAGCATAGCTTTGCTATTTGCTTATTGGACAAATGAGATTTCTTTGCTAAACGAGTATGTAGATTATGAAATTGTAGAGTTAAAAGAACAAAAAAGATTAAACAAAAAGTTGTGCTAAATATTGGGTCAACTGCCGAAATTTCAGTACACTAGTCTTTTCACACAGATTTAAGATAAAAAATCACTTTTTTGTAAAAAGAGCTTTCATAATCCCTGTTTATACTACTGCCTTAGTGTTATGATGCAGGTGTTATATAACAACTTTTTTTGCCAAGGAGCTTTCATTAATTGTTAAAAGTACAATTTCAACGGTTTCTCGCTATCTATGTAGCATATATGTTTCAATAATCAAAGCTTTACGCAAATCCAGTTTTGAACTGTTTGCCGCTGTATGTTACTTTTAACTGTTTCGAAATTTCTGTCAGCAAGAAATTGTCAAAAAGCGAAAGCTCAGACGTTTGCGAAACTTGTGATCCAATGAAATTGGACTATTCTGAGTTTACATTGAAAGATACGTCATCTCATAAGAAAAGCTTATTTGTGGAAAAGAAAAAAATATTTTCTGATACATATGTACATATATGAAAGCTCTTAAAAACGCATGGCTTCCTTTGCGCAGTAGCGTTGCTACATATTAAAAATATGCCGAAAAAATGTTTAGACTTTTTTTTGGCGCCTTAATCAATCGACAGCGTTCGCGCAGCTTTCGCAATTTTTACAAAAACTAACCACTTGTGACGAAATATTAAGCACTTAAATTTTTTTAAACAAAAACTTAAGGAAGCAAAAAGTTGTGTGTGTAAATATGTATACAGTATAACTAACAATTTGAAAACAATAAATTTATGTAATGCAGCAGCAACAATTAGAAAATAGTTACATTTAGTGAACAGGCTGCAAAGTACACAAAACTACAACAAAAGCAAAATAATTAGTGTTTGGGGTAATAACTATACATTTATTTATGTATTGTATGTATGCAATTTCAGCTAATGTTGCTTTACTTCTTTAGTTATCATAAATTGTTTACTATGCTTTAACTACATTTTTTACTTTCATTTTTTTTTTTGTTTTTGTTATTAACTTCATTTGCTTTTTTTCGCCTCTTGCTTTTTGCTTGCATTTTTTTATTTATTTATTTATTGCCACGCATCCATTTTGTTTTTGCTTTTTTATTTTAGCGGATATGTTAGTTATGAAATGTTTACAGTTCATAGATGTGGCAACGAACGTTGCAGCGTTGGTTTTTCTATTCTTCTGCCGCTTCTTCTTTGTATTTATTTTATTGTATTTGCATTCTATTTTTGTATGTACTATGCAAGTTTGCTTGAAAAATGTGTGGTAAATTAGTAAATAGCTTAATATTAGAAATATGTTTGTTTATTTGTTTGTTCTCGTGTGTGTCTAAGTAATTATGACACGTTTTCTCTGCCGTTATTGCCTTTGCTTTGCATTCATATGTATGTATTTGTGTATATGTTGCACATTTTGCTTATTATTTGCCTGCAATTATCGTTTTTATTGTTGTTTGTATAATATTTATTGTAGAATTTGCAGTGATTTGTCCCATGAAGATATGAATATTTTTGCAGCAGCAATTTCTTTTACGATATGAATGTGATATTACACGGTTTCCAAAAAAAAAAAAAATAATATTTTTTTGTTTTTCAATAACACTTGTGTGTGTGGGTGTGTTGTTGCACTGCTTTTAGACGTTGATTTTTCATACACAAAATATGGTTTTCTGAAACAATAAATTACATGAAATGTAAATATCGTAGTTCTTCACGAAAAAAATATATGTATATGTAAAATGATTTTTTCTTAAATATTATTAACGGTTTGCTGTATTATTACATACATATTATGCTCAAATGATTTTTCATTAACTTTTTTGTAATTATTGATTTTGCGCCAAGCGCATTTTAAAACCTCTATTTTTTCCTGTGTTTTGGCGTTCGCTACAGCTACAAAGTGCTAAAGTTTGTTTCTTTGTATATGTGTGTATGCATGTGTGTGTGTGTTCAAGTAGTACATAAGTCTATTTTGCTACTTCATTATTTTTCTTGACATGAAAAACAGCACAAAATTACATTGAATTTGTGTACAACAAAATAAATGTATCAATATTGTGTATGTTTTTGTATAGCTCATATTTGCATTGAAAACTTTACATTGCTCATTGCAAGTACTGCAGGTGTGTGTGTGAAACCAGACATCTTTAATACATACAAAATTTTGAATTAAATATTTATTTTAATTTCTTCTTATGTTTTTGTTTTCTTTTTGTTTCTTCTTGCAATCTCCCTTCAACTAAACTTGTTTTTAATATTTTTATTTTTATACTTATTATTTATTGCTTATTGGTTGCATTTTTTGTTGTTACTGTGTTTTTTGTTGTTCTTTTATTTATTTATTTAATTTCTTTGCACAGCTCCTCTTTGTTGACAATGACTTTTCAACTCTCATGCCCTCTCTCTTTGCACTCCAACTGCGATTATTATTATTTTTATGTCTCTTCATGCGTTTTGCTTTGCTTTGTTGGAGTTGTTGGAGCGCACAAATGTATTTTTACGTTCTTCGCACGTTGTTGTTGTGTTTATTTGTTATTGTTTTTGCATTATTTGGCGATTTAATGTATTGGCGTTTTAACAATTGCATTCGGTGCAATGTAGTGATAACCCGGTATGGGTAGGCCAGCTGTTTCCATTGATATTCTGTAAAGAGAATTGGAAGAGTTGAGATGTGGTGGATTAGTGAGTGGTTTCAAAGCAACGAAATTAGTTCAAAAACGTTTTGTTTTTTGTTTGTAAAAGCAAAATTAGCAATTTACTAATTGTTTAAAGTTNATATATGTGTATACATTGCGTATAAGAACTTAATTTTGATCGTTCAGTTCGTATGACAGCTCTATGCTAAAGTGATCCGATATCGGCGGTTCCGACAAATGAGCATTTTTCTATATACATACATATGAATATATTTTATAGGAATCCTGACGCTTCCTTATTGGTGTTACAGTATCACTCCAACTGGAATTTAACTGCTATTTCGCTTACTCCTTTAAAGTCAGGTTAGGTCTATTACCCATTACTTTTGCTTTAAAGGACAAAAAATGATATTTATTTTTTTTAAAGTGACATTACTACAGGTATGTTAATAATCGGCGAGTAATTTTGAAAAATTTTGGATTCGCTAGATTCCGTGGTCAATTTTTAGGAAGACCTTCGAAAGAAGGTGACTGGAAGATTTTTCCTCTTAAGACTATTCAAAATAAAAAACAAAATATTTTTCACACAAAATATTGCACTTTAAAAAATATTTGGAACAGAAAAATATAATTTTTAAGGTTAAATAAATGAAAGTCACACAATTTTTCTTCTCATATTTATTCGTATTTTTTCGCAATATTATGCTGTTTGTATATATGTATGAATGCGAGTTGCTTTTACTGTTAGCGTAAGTTGTATGTATATTTATGCATATAATAAAGTGTGAGTGTTTCTATTATTACAAATTGGTAGTAAATATACTTTGTTTTTTGTTTTTCGTTAGAACTACAAGTTACAAGTTGAGTTATAAGTTTAAGTATATAAATATGTAACGGTGCTTGTGTGTATGTTTGTATGTATGTCCGTAATCGTAGTTTTGTTCTCTACTAGTGTCTGTGTATGCTGTGATTTACAAACGCTTCGCTTGATGCTTAATACACGATTTTATTTTTTAATATGGTTCATGATGATTTTTTTTTATAATTTTTAATATTTATATTTTAAGTTTAATGTTTTTTTTCAGTGTATGTTAATAAATTTTCGATTGACCGTATGCGCGAGTAATACTCACAATACTTTAAGATTGCAGTTTACGCTTAATTTCGGATTCTTTTTGTTATTTATTTTTTGTAAAATAAGAATTTTAATGACTCCATATACGGATTTTTAAGCTTTTCATGATACTTAAAACTAAGACTTATGTTTTTAATAACTAAATAACATT